CTCCACCAAGCCCTCAACCATCCTCTACCGCCCTTGGAAAAGGCTACCCCCGAGACCCTCACAAAGGCCCTCTCATCATCAAACATCCTATCCCTCTGGCCTTCCACCCGCAGAGATCCTGAAGCAGCCGTCCAGCTGCTCCATGATCGCCTCTCCTCCACCTTCAACTCCCTTGTCCCCCTAAAATCCAGGACCATCTCTAAACCCACCCAATCCCCCTGGTACAACAACCATCTCTGTCGCCAAAAAACTCAAACCCGTCTGCTCGAGCGCAGATGGCGGAAAACTGGCCTGACAGTTCACTACCAACTGTGGCTCGAGCATCTCCACAGCTACCGGCGTTCTTTGACACACGCAAAAACGGCCTTCTACTCCAACATCATCTTGGAGGCTACACACAACCCTAAAATCCTATTTTCCACCACCCACTACCTCCTCCGTGCCCCCCTCAGGCCTCCTCAATTTTCATATCAAATGCCAAGTGCGAGGAGGTCATGGACTTCTTTTCATCTAAAATACTTAACATCCGCCAGGCAGCCTCATCCACCTGCGCCTTGTCACCCACCATCACGCCCTCTCTGTCCCCCTCACCTTCCTCATCATCTGCTCCTACCACCACCCCCATTCTACATTCCTTCCTCCCCATGTCTCCCTCCTCCCTCTCACCCACCATCACCTCTTGAAATCCACCACCTGCTGCCTCAACCCCCTCCCCACCAACTTATTGGTCACCCAGCTCCCACTCCTCTGCCAATTACTGGCTGACATCATCAAACTGTCGCTTTCCTCCAGATCAGTCCCTGCCCCCCTGAAAACTGCTGTCATCACCCCCCTCCTGAAAAATCCCTCCCTCGATCCCTCAAACCCCATCCACTACCGCCCTATTTCTAATCTGCCCTTCCTCTCAAAAGTTCTAGAATGCGTTGTTGCCAATCAACTTCGCGCTCACCTCTCCTCCCACTCCCTCTTCGAGCCCCTCCAGTCCGGTTTCCGCCCACAGTACAGAGACTGCACTTGTGAAAGTCACAAATGACATCCTCTCTATCTATGACCAGGGCTCCCTCTGCCTCCTTGTTCTCCTGGACCATTTCGCTGCGTTCGACACAGTTGATCACGCCATCCTCCTCCACCGCCTTTCCTCCGTCATCTACCTCAGTGGGACCGCACTCGCCTGGTTCGAGTCCTACCTCATAAACCACCAGCAGTACATCTGTACAAACGGCTTCACCTCCCACTCTCACCCAGTCACCTGCGGGGTACCCCAAGGATCCATCCTTGGCCCCCTCCTCTTTCTGATCTATATGCTCCCTCTTGGGGATGTCATCTGCAAACATGGGGTACACTTCCACATGTATGCAGATGACACCCAACTCTATTTTTCCACCTCTCTTTGCGATCCCCAGTCCCCTGATGTTTTGTCAGCCTGCCTGTCAGATCTCAGGGGCTGGATGAGCTCAAATTTCCTTCAGCTGAACGTTGACAAGACAGAAGCCATACTCTTTAGCTCTCATCAACGTCTAAAATCTCACAGTTCTCACCTCCTCCACCTACCCGACCTCCCCCTAAAACTCTCCGAACCCATATGCAACCTAGGCATCAGGTTCAACCCCCAATTATCCTTCCTTCCCCACATTCGGTCCCTCACCAGCACCGCTTTCTTCCACCTCTGAGGCATTGCCTGTCTCCACCAATACCTCTCCCCAAAAGCCGCTGAAACCCTGGTCCATGCCTTTGTCACCTCTCAGCTGGACTACTCTAACGCTCTCCTCACCGGTCTCCCCTCCACTACCATCTATAAAATCCAAATCATTCAAAACTCTGCCACCCGCATTCCCACGCGCACGAAACTCCTCTCCCAGATCACCCCAGTCCTTGCCAGACTGCACTGGCTGCCTATCCCAGAGAGGATCAACTTCAAGATCCTTACTCTTGTATTCAAGTCCCTCCACTCCTCTGCACCCCCTACGTCTCTGACCTCCTCTCTCCTCAAAACAGTGCCCGTTGCCTTCGTTCCTCTGGGTCTGGCCTCCTCCTCGTCCTAAGCTCCACCCTCGGCAGCCGTGCCTTCAGCCACTATGCCCCGAAGCTCTGGAACTCCCTTCCTCACTCCCTTCACCTCGCTTCATCCCTTCCTATTTTCAGGTTTCTGCTGAAGACCTTTCTTTTCGACCGCGCTTTTGGTCACCTTCCTCCCCCTCCCCCTGGCTCGTTCCTGGGATCTGTTATTGTGAAGCGCTCTGAGCGCTCAAGTTGTTGTTGTTCAGGGCAGCGGAACAGAATGTTAGGAGAGAGACTGGTTGACCGTGTTGGCCAGCAGGGAGGAGAGGAGGAGGAGTTGAGTGACCAGCAGCTGGGTGAGGAGGGGTTCGAGGCAGCAGGTGGTGAACTTTATGCGGGTGATTGTGGTTGAGAAGGAGGAGGGAGAAATTTGGGCTAAGTAGTGGGAAATGGCAGTAGCTGTGGCGGAGGGAGAAAGCCTTGGTTGTGGGTCAGTGAGTTGATGTGGATGATGAGGTTTGAGGAGGAGAGGAGGGCAGTGAAGTCTAAGGAGGTGGTGCAAGGGGAGTAAAGGTGGAGTTTGAAATCACCCATTATGAGTAGGTGTTCAGTTCAGAGGGACAGGGATGAGAGGAGAGAGGAGATATCAGTGAATATATTGCTACATCAGTAACATAGCACCTTATCACGTCTTCTAGATGTCTCAAGCACTTCACAGAATATACTGTGTACTGTGGCCGAAAAACGTAAAACAATACAAGTTTTAAAATGTAGGAAGTCCATTACCTTGTCAAGCCAGAGAAAGGGAGACCTTTGTGTAAATTCAGGCAAAAAAATAGCAAAATATGCTTGGTGAAACAATCTCTTTTACTATTGTCCCCTAAACATATACAGTATTTGCAGAAGAGTCTGAAATTCCTGCAGCATAGGATACTGAGTTAATTTTGCTTCAGTTGCAAATTTGTTACAAAATGTTAGATGAAAAGAAGCAAGATACAGTAAGCTGTTGAAATACAATTGAGAGGATGGCTTAGTCATGCTTCTGAATCACAAAGTTGTGGGTTCAAGTCCCATGTTGGGACTTACTTGGAACTCCCATTCTACGATGAAACTCCAGTACAGTACTGGGGGAGTGCTGCAATGTTGGAGGTGCCATTCTTAACACCTCTGATGAAATGGTAAATTGGGAGTCCCAACTGTCGAAGGGGATGTTAATGATCCCATGGCATTGTTTGAAAAGAGAACAGAGCTGGTTGACAACCCCCCAGATAAAACTGGTCATTCATTTCATTGGCTGTTTGTGGGATATTGGTGTGTGCAAATTGACTGCTGTGTTTGCCAACAAAGTAGTCACTGCGCTTTACAGTAAATTTTGTGAAGAGCTTTGAGATGTCTTCCTGACATGAAAGGTGCTTTATCAAAAGTAAGGATTGTTATTATCAACAATCCTTGCAACTATTTACTTATGTATCCCTTTTGAGTCTAAGCTAAAAATAAATACAAATGTATTCATAACAAAAATGCAAAAAAGAGAATGGGTAATTTTCGATAGCAAATCAAAACTACTGAGGGAAACCAAGAGGAAATACAGTCCTCTGTGTCAGAGGGGTGTTTAATTGGAAGGTATCTTCATAAATCCATAAAGAAAAATATAGTAAATTATGGTGTACACAAAGGTATACATTTGTCATGACAACACATTTTGCTAAAGTGCTTTGAAACTGGTTTAAATTACACATATAGTATTACAGTGTAGCATGAAAATTTTATTTTTTATGTCCCATGATGATTGACCAATACTCTGGTCTATCTTTGGTCCCCTCCTCTTCAATATCTATATGTTCCCTCTTGGTGACAGCATTGCAAACATGGGGTTAACTTCCACTACCTCTCTACCTCCATCCTTGAGTCCAGGACCACTGCTGTCCTAACAGAATGTCTGCCAGACATCAAATCCTGGATGAGAGATAACTTTCTTCCGTTGAATGTCAACAAGTTCAAAGCCCTCCTGATTGGCTCCCGTCCACACCTCAAGCACTGACAGCATCACCATCGAAGGATGTACACACCACCTGACTAGCTAGTCCGGAACTTTGGCATCTTGTTTAACCCTCAACTATCCAGCCCATGTCCTCTCCCACATCAGGCTCCGTGACCCTATCACTCCCATCCTCACCCGGCTCCACTGGCTTCCCATCACACAGAGGATACAGTTCAAGATCCTTGTCCTCATCTTCAAAGGCCTCCATGATCCCACATTTGGCAATCGTCCCTTCTGTCACTCTGCCCCCATCCTCTGGAGTTTCAACCGCAGTCCCTCCACCTCGCCCACTCCCTCGGCTCCTTCAAGACTTTCTCAAGACCTTCGGTCTTCCTGTTTCCCCCCCACCCCCTGCCCAATCCGGGACCCCAGCTCGGGTCCGAAACGTTGACCGCTCAGCGCCTCGGGATGTTCCTCCCAACGTGAAAGGTGCTATGCAAATGTAATTTTGTTGTTGATTTTGCTGTTGTCACGTCTTCGAGACATCTCGAAGCGCTTCACGGAACATATTATACAGTGACCGGACTGCACGTTTCGTGGGTGAGAGGCGGCCGGGATGGAGGATGCCTTAGCGCTGGGGATGTGGTCCCGACGTGAAGGGCGCCATACACACCTGACTTGTTGTTCCTGCCTCCACACAGGGCGGACAGCTGAGAGCTGTCCAATCAGCGGCGAGAGCTGCCGGACGTATGACCAATAGGAAACGGCAGGGCCGGGAGTGCTGCAATGCCCATGAGGCGGCGGAGGGGCGGGGCGTAGGTGTGACACTGCCCAATAGGAGGCTGCGGGGCGGGGCCAGTGGTGCGGCAGTATCCAATCGGAGGCTGCGGGGCGGGGCCAGTGGTGCGGCAGTATCCAATCGGAGGCTGCGGGGCGGGGCCAGTGGTGCGGCAGTATCCAATCGGAGGCTGCGGGGCGGGGCCGGGGCGTTGCAGTGTCCAATGAGCGCGGGGCCGGCGGAGAGCCGAGGGTTGTCAGTGAATGGTTGAGCGCTGAGGATGGCGGTGGACGATGAGGGGCTGCGGGTGTTGCAGAGCGTCAAAGTCAAGATCGGTAAGAGGCGCTGCCCTGCCGCTGGTGCCTGTGCGTGTCGGGGCCGGCGCTGCCCTGCCGTGCCGTGCAGTGCCGTGCAGTGCCATGCAGTGCCGCGGCCAGGAGCGGGCAGGGAGAGGCTCGGGTCACCCGCATGCTTTGCAGCCGAAACATTGTGTCTTGTTGAATGAGTGAGTGAGTGATGTGAGTGAGTGAGTGAGAGAGGGTCGGCAGCAGTGCAGTGCAGTCCTGGCTGTTCGGACGTGCCGCCGGCGCCGGGCGGAGAGGGAGAGAGAGAGAGAGAGAGAGAGAGGAGGAGGAGAGGAATCTGACTTTCCTCTTTCCTTTTCCATGGCTGTGGCGATTTGCAACGGTGCGGCGGTTGTGAAATACTGCGCCGAGCGATTCCCCTTTTTCAGTAGATTGCGGCGAATGAATTCATCTCAACGGGGGGTGTGAGTTCATTGCCCAGACTCTCCCCCTGGATTAGAACCCCCCCCCTCCCCCCCCCCCCCGGGATGCTGATGCATTGCCGTGTTTTGGGGGGTTGTGCATTTCAGATGCAAAAGTTCCGAACCGGGAGGAAGTGTGTGGTGTGTGGTGTGTGTGTGTGTGTGGTGTGGGGGGGTGGGGGGCTTTTGTGGGGGCGAGACGAGCCCATCCCATTGACAGCTGCCTGCACCCACCCACCCACCCACCCACCCGCTGGATCGGGCTCCCTGCTGTGCACGATGCCTGCCTTCAACTCAGCAATTACTTAGCCATTTGCAGGCGAACACCCAGATCAGTGCCCCTCTGATGCTTCTTAAAGGATGGACATTTTCACCGTTAGTACGTTGCACTTGGCACCTGCAGCGATCCCCCCCTCCCTCCCTCCCTCCCTCCCCCCCCCACCCCCACACTAAAGGCTGAAGCGTGAGATTCCTCAAATGTCTTGTGCACAATACTGTTGATGTTTTCAGCACATAATTTGACGCCCGGGAAGCACTGATGCAAATTTAGACCATTGAAGAAAGATCTACCACAAGGGGCACTGCAGGCTGGGGCTCCCTGCAAGTTAAAGGTTGTGTTAAATGAGCAGTACTTTGTTGTGAGGGGGTGAGAATTGAACCTAACACTTAATATTTTTTGCATTTGATGTCGCGCCTTATCCATGTCATTGAGACGTCTCAAAGCGCTTTTCGCTGAACGTATTGTAAAGTGAACTAACTGCGTATTTTCTGAGTGAAACGCAGCAGTCAATTGCGCATAACAGTGTCCCACAAATATTTATTTTGTATTTAAAAGCTCTTTTGAGAGTTTCATCTTCTGGTTAGATTGTCGGTTAACAGTTCACTTACCTGACAGCTCTTTACTTTCTTTTAGTCTGACACACGTGAAAATCCATCAACATACTTAAGAGTATCCAAACAAAACAGTTTCATGCTTGGCATCTACAACAAGCTTGCATATATATATGTATTATATATATAGCGCCTTTCGTGTCGGGAGGGCATCAACTAAAAGTGCTTAAAAATAAAGAAATTTTACACATTCTACATCTACACATGGAAATTCATGTGTATTGGAAGGATGCATCCTGCTTATCTCATTCTAGAGTGTATTAGGCACAGGTTAGCAAGTGGCAAGGCGATGTGATCATTTCTTGTAACAGCCCTTGCATTTCATATATTTTATATACATATATCACCTGAACAAGTACATGTGACCTTAGTTAAATGTCTCATCTAAAGGGTGATGCCACCCCTACAATGCAGCACACCCCCAGTACTGCAGTGGAGTATCAACCAAGTACCAAGCATTCCTTGGATATGTGTTCCAAGTACCGACCTGAGGCTTGAATCTACAACCTTCTAACTCAGGTGCGAGTGTTACCAACTGAGCCAGACTGGCACCTATGTAAGGAAATAGAAAAATTAAGCAGCTACTCTGTGCCAGCAATGAAACAACTGATCAAATTTATTCTTAGGTTTTGGTGAATTTTGTGATGAAGGAATATTGGCCATTGAAACTGCTTGCTCTTTGAAACAATACTGTGGGATACTTTAGTTCCTTCTGAACCATGGCCATAGGCAGACATTGCAGAGCTCTGAGAAATGTCCCAGTGTGAAAGGTGCTACATAAATAAAACTTGTTGTTGACATCTCATCTGATTTTCAGCAAAGAATCTCCAGATTGCTCAATATTGCTTGGAGTTTTATCTTTGATTAGGAGCTCAAGCCACAACCATGCAAGAGTGCTATCAGATTAGTCACACTAACACCTAGAGTAGTGATAGGGAGAAATAATTAGCTTGTGAGAATGCTTGGGATTAGCAACAATGAAGCAAAAACAACTCTCACTTATATTGTGTCTTGAATTGTTTAACATAAATGGTAGCGAGCAGAGGGAATGAAGAGAGAATTAAGGATGTTGACAAAATGCACAGTCAGAGATATTTTTTGAGAGTGTTTTGATGCAGGGAGGGAGGAAGCAAGGTAAAAAAGAGATTTGGAGAGTTCCAACAAAGGCAGAATTCAAAAAGTGGAAGGGCAGGCAGATCAGCCTAGCAAAAATCGCATAGATGGAATGGGAGGAAGTGGGAAGAAGTGAGAAAGTGAAAGAGGAAGAGGAGAATAAGAAACAACAAAATAAATCAATCAGATGTGAGAAACCCAGTCAATATTGCCTTTACTGAAATCCCAGTGACACCTTGTCCCCTCCCCCCAGATCAGATGGGGGTACTTTCATTTTGAGATTCATTGCACTCAAGCTTTGTTTTTGTGGTATCATCTGACTACCCCAAGATGATTTGTCATAACCTCTGGATGTCTGGTGACTGACAATAAGCATTAAATTCTGTAGCCATGTGTAGTGTTTGCCAATTGGAATATTTTCATTCTTTTGTTAACTGTCAAAGGCAGGTGCTAATATAGTAACAAATATAATGTTCAACTCAAAAAGTAATAAAACGTCTAGGATTAAGGATGTGATACAATAAGTGGATTTTGGCAGACAAATCACAGCATGGAAACAATTGGATCATGTAGTGAGTCTCTGCTGTTTTGTTTGTCCTTTTTGTTCATGTGGAATTGTATCACATGCTTAACCATGCGGGATTTTGTCTCTCCTTGCCCCGTTTTATTTTCATTTTTTAGTTTTTTCTCTCTCTCCTTTAATTATCTCCCCAAATCTCAAAGGTGCTTGTTTGGCTTCATGTTCCTTCTTCTAGGAAATCTTCCGCTGTTCATTTGTGAGCCTTGGCAGCTTTTGTCATGTCAGTAGGCTATTTGACTGTGGGAGACATTGCAGCCAAGCACAATGTTACTAATTTCTGGATCTATCCGCTTTGAGAAGTTTTGGCGATGTGATAAAGGGCTATATCACATGCAAGGATTATTATTATATAATGTGGGAGATTTGTCAACAGTCTGAATTAACGTTAAATATAGAATCAAGAGTTTACCCTGAGACCTAGTTCAGTCAATCCCAGAAACTGCAGGATGGTCATCGCCCACACTCCCATTCACCCGCATTGGTTACTGAACTCCTATTCTTCAAAAGTCCAAGCACCTTACAGCAGGTGCCTCTGACTGATTCTTCCCACTCTATTTGAGGGAGCTGTGTCAAATTGTATCTCACCAACTGGCAGCATCTGAGAACCTCCAAATCATCTTAGATCCAAATTCAAACCTGCAGATTTCTGAGCTTCTGAACTTGCTGAGCCATTGGGAGCGCCTTCTCTGAAATGCGCTACAAGTGTAATTTAACAGGCGCCTGTGTGAGTCTGCTTTCCTGGACCGAATAAGTAGGTGAGAATCCCACACCCTGCCTCTGCCATTGCTTCGCTGTGAAGAAATATGGAACGGCCTATATTAACTTTCTGTTTTTTTACTGCTATTGGTAGAAATTAATTCCTGTTTTCTGTTTAGGGAAGTCCTGCCCCTCACATAGTCTGGCCCATGTACAACTGGGGATCAGTTTTATACAGTGATAATTTTCTGATTTCTGACCGAAATTCTGAATTTTTTTTAAAAATCAGAAAATTATCATTGTATAAAACTGTAATAGACTTTTGAAGAATAGGAGTTCAGTAACCAATGCGGGCGAATGGGAGTGTGGGCGATGACCATCCTGCAGCTTCTGGGATTGACTCAACTGGGTCTCAGGGTAATCTCTTCATTCTATATTTAATGTTAATTCAGACTGTTGACAAATCTCCCACGTTATATAATAATAATCCTTGCATTTGATATAGCCCTTTATCTTCTCAAAAACTTCTCAAAGCGGATAGATCCAGAAATTAGTAACACAACAAAGAAACATCATTACTTCTGTAAATTTAGAATGAGAATCAATCAAAAATCGGAATCTAAATATGAAAGTTGTGTCATATCTTAACATTTTTATTTGAAAAACAAATGGTGACTTTTTAAGACAAGACATTTTCATATCGGAGCATAACCTTTGTTTAGCCTCCATATGCCACAAAATTGCACAAACAGCATAAATAGTAAATACCACAATACTTTAACATGAAGTGGAATACTTTGTGTATAAAATATCAATGATAAGTTACCTTTTGATACTTATTTACATTTCAGGGTACTTTACTGAACTTGATGCAGTGACATTTATTTCAAAATAGTGTCGCAAAAGTAACATTGTTATGTTTGTACCAATAACACACATTAGGATGTACTGTGGAATGTATATTCTAAACAACCTCATTTTTCTCTGCATCTTCCTCCTGTGCTAGGGTACAGTTTCAAAGGTGCTGATTATACAAGCTCACCTTTTGTAGCTATTTGTGAGCCTAACCAGTGAGTTTTAGCAGCCTATTTCATTTGACACTTCTGAGCCCAGTCCTTCTCAGGAATATTCTCAGCAAGTAGTTATCATGTCAGGGAAATTTGACTTGGTACTTTTTTCCTACCCTAGCTGGATGCTGAGGCCAATATTAGCATGTCTATAGCCTGAGATAAACTAACAGCAATACTCGGGTTTGAACTGGGTACCTTCCAGGTTTGGGTTGTGCAATT